GCAGTGGTGGCGCACGCCTTTAATCCCAGCACTCGGAAGGCAGAGGCAGGCAGATCTCTGTGAGTTCGAGGCCAGCCTGGTCTACAGAGTGAGAGCCAGGACAGGCTCCAAAACTACACAGAGAAACCCTGCCTCAAAACAAACAAACAAACAAACAAACATCTTTAAACTTGGAAACCCTGGGTTGATGAGATGGCTCAGGAGGTAAAGGTGCGAAATTTCTACCAAGACTGATGACCTGTGTTCAGTCCCTGCGTCTTCCATGTGTGCTGTGGTATATGTAGTATATGTAGGTATATGTAGGCTAAAAGGACCAAGAACACCCAGACCCTGACTTGATCCCAAGCCCAAGCCCAGAGCCAAGAAACAGAATCCACCAATCCCTGAGCTTGCCTCAAGATCAGGCCACAAAAACTCACCAATCCCAGGCCACCCTGGACAACTCCACCCCCAAGAAACCCTATATAAACCCTGCCTTCTGCTCAGTTCCCTGCGCTGCTGCTTGCCTGAGCAGAGGGAGCCACCCTCCTGGGTCCTTCCCTCCCAACCAATCTCTCGTGTGAGGTTTGCTGTACAGCGTGACTTTGTGGTGCTCCTGGGCTCCTGACTGCCAGGATACCTTGCCCCTCAGAGCTCTAACACAATGGGATCCTGCTCCAAAAAACAAAGTCAAAGAGAGAAAGAGAAGGCCATTACAAAGGGGCCAAAAATCACTAGGGTGAGAGGTGGAGACTGTGGGGATTCTGGCAATCAAAGAAAAACATTCTATTGATATTTGCAAAGCACAAAATGTTCAATAATGATTTTCTCACATAAACTTCCCTTTGGGCCTGGATTAACAGCAACAAAACCCACATGATTTGCTCTGAAAAACAAAAGGCTCTTTATGTTCTTTAGAAGTTCACTTCACAAACACAGCCTGGCCAGAGTTTTCTCTCTGAGCTGGAGATCAGAGGGCCTGACTTGGAAAAGACCCGTCTCATCAAGGATGTGGCCACTCCTGCTGGAACAGACCAAGTGCCAAAGGACGTGGCCTTTTACTCGAGACAGCTTCTGGGAACAGTTTCTTCTGAACATGAGCAATCCTTGAGTAGGAGTTTGATAATGCAGATACAAAAGAATCATGTTGCACTATACAGAACTACTTTAAGTCAGTTAAAGTCTTTTTTTGTTTTGAGACAGGGTCTCAAGTAGCTGAGGCTGACCTCGAACTAGCTAAGTAGCTAAAGATGACCCTGATTCCTGAGTCTCCTTCCTCCAGCTCCAAGGGCAAGGGTTATAGGCCTTTTTTTTTTTAAACCTCATCTAACTCCCAGCTGGCTCTATGAATTTACCTTGTTATGTGTATATAACAATGTCTATGAAGAAAACACTGCAGAAGAGTTCTAGAACAAGGAAATGGGCACATATGTACATAAAACTGGGTAAACATGTATGCTGCCTTGGTCCACATAGTGAGTTTTAGGCTAGAGAATTGAGACCCCGTCTCAGAAAGAAAAGGAACCTTGAATTCTAGGGCCAGGTCACTAAAGAGGAAGACAATTCAAGAATGACTTCTTTCTTTCCAAAGGTCCACTTCTACAGATGTGAAGCAACAAGGGACACAAAGAACTCACTTTTTCGGAGACTGGCCATATCCGCCACCACAAGAAGCTGTTTCGGGGGGCGGGGGGGGGGGGGTTGATGCTCTGTCCCATCCCCCCAGCCCAGGACTCCACTCTGCCCCGGAAAAGCCAAATGGCCAGAACTGCCAGGGATTCCGCTGGCACCTGGTGGGCACGAACATTCTATTCTTATGTGGTCACAGACAGGCCGAGAGGCCTTCTTTAGTAACGGACCGAATGTGCAGATGGGAGCTGAACTTGACGGATAATGTTCTGCTCAGGCAGGAGTGATGAGGTTGTCCCACTGACCTAGAGTTCACCTCTCTAACAAATGTGAGATTCAAGTCCTAACGATGACTTCTCAGGCATTGGCTTCTTGGATTAGATTTTAAACAGTACCCAAAAGATGAGTGGCACTCAGTTCAGTTTAGTCGAGAAGATCTTTTCTTGCCAGAGTTACAAGTCTTTCAGACGTCACTATTTAACATAAATGCTCAGTTATCTGCGTGTGCGCATGGGTAGGCCAGAGCGCCAATCCAGCACAGTTCCTCAGAGGCCACCTTGATTTTTCCAGCAGGCTCTTTTGGCCTAGCTCACCCGAGGAGATAGTCGGGGCGCACAGTCCGCATGTCTTGGATTCCCCCCATGCTGGTATCCTAAGCACATGTCCCTAACCTTAGCTTTTCCATGTGAGTGCAGGGATCAAACTCAGGTTCCTGTGCTTGGACAGCACTTTACCAACCCAGCCCTCTCCCTGGCCCCTTTCATGGTAATTTCAATAATTCAGTCTAAGCAGGCCTGGAGCTCACGGCTGCAACCTAGTACTTGGGAGTTCAGGCAGATGGATGGCGGAAAGTTCTTGGCCAGACAGGGATACATTGCAAGACCCTGCTCAATATCCTCCCCCATCACCAAAAAACCCACCCCCCCAATTCCAATCACCCCCACCACCAAAAACCCTTTACACAGGTGTGGTGGCACATACCTTTAATCCTAGCACTTGGGTGGCAGAGGCAGGCTGATCTGTGAGTTCAAGGCCAGCCTGGACTACAGAGCGAGTTCCAGGACAGTCAGAGCTGTTAAAAAAAATGGGCAAAAAAACTTTTTTTTTCTTATAACCAGAATAATTTCTTTAAAAATAAGCCACATATAATGTCACGGATCTGCAGATACTTGGGAGGCTAAAGCAGAGGGGATACTAAGTTCAAGGCCTGCCTGGGCTATGGTACGTTCAAGGACAGCCTGGTTAACTCAGTGAGACCTTGTCTCAGAACTGAACATAAAAAACAGGGCTCCGAGCACAGCCTGGAGGTGGGAACAGAGCTCACTACATAGTTCAGGGATCTAGAAAACAAGGTCCTTAGCATCTTCCAGGGCTCTTATTTACAATCATGTCTAAATTTATTTCTTTACTTTTACATTTCATTTATCACGTGTGTGTGTGTGTGTGTGTGTGTGTGTGTGTGACACACTTTCATGGAGGCCAGAAGACAACTTCTGTGTTCAGTTTCTCCTTCTGCCCTGGGTCCCTGGGATCAAACTCAGGTCGTCAGCCTTGGTAGCACATACCTTTATCCACTCAGCCATCTTGCCAGCTCAAAATCCTGTTCTTTTTTTTTTTTTTTTTTTTTTTTTTACAAAGAGAATTTTTATTTCTAAAACTTTGCCAAAAAAACCTTGAGACTTTTCTGAATATCATGTTGGAATACCATATCATACCAACACTGTGATCCACTTGGAAAGGTGTATAATTACAGAATAAAAAAAGAAGGGCCAATGGGTAAGCCTGGGGTAACTGGGGAGGGCTGCCTCTCCCCCAGTTACGTGAAGAGCTGCCCGGCAGAGGAACAGGCACCAAGACTCTGTGCTAGGACCCCCAGTTCTGGATAAACCTCTGGATAAACAACAGGTGGTCGTGGTGGTGGTGGTGCAGTTAGTTAGTTATGAAAAGAAGCTTTTTTTCATTTAACTCCGAAGTCAGTTTGTCGGGCCAGGGCTGCACATAGCGCAGCTGGTCGAGCGCTCGCCCTGCACACATGGAGCCCCACGTCCCACCTCCTGCTCTGCACACAGCGGGCGTGGTGGCCGCTCCTGTAATCCCAGCACTCAGGAAGTAAAGTGCGAGGACTGAGGCTACTAAACAAGACCCCGCCTCAGAAACAAAACCGGCCAGAACTAAAACTCCATTTGCAGCCAGGCGGTGGTGGCGCAAGCCTTTAATCCCAGCACTCGGGAGGCAGAGCCAGGCGGATCTCTGTGAGTTCGAGGCCAGCCTGGGCTACCAAGTGAGCTCCAGAAAAGGCGCAAAGCTACACTGAGAAACCCTGTCTCGAAAAAACCAAACCAAACCAAACCAAACCAAAACTCCATTTGCTGCTGCAAACCAAACAGTGCTACTAAAATCTTTTATTTTCAGGAAGGATAGAGGTCAGGCCTGAGATGAGCATGGGTGTAGGCTCTCCGCTGCTGCCGGCAGGTGTCCGGTTCAAATTCAGCATGGGCCGGGCGCCTGCGTCTTGCCCTGGAGGCACAGCCATTTGGTGGGCACTTCGTAGGAGGACCTCTGCACCAGGTCTTCATCATACGGGATGTGCCAGGAGTCTCCGGTTGTCTGCACCACTGTGTCATAGTGGAGAGGATCCTGGGAATCAGAGAGCCAAATGGGAGAACAGCAATGGGCTGCTGCCACCTTTGGAAGAGCACTGTGTGCTACCTGACACTGGACTCCTTCCTTCCTTCCTGTGCGTGTGGTGTATGCACATGTACGTGCAGATGCACGGCCCTGTGCGTGCACAGGAGCCGGAGACTTTACCATTTTCCACATTATTCCTTTGAGGCTGGGTCTCTGCCTGAACCTGGAGCTACTGGGTTTTTGTTTGTTTGTTTGTTTTGCTAGGTTGGAGGCTAGCAAGCCCAAGCAATCCTCCTGTCTCTGCTCCATACACTGCTGAGGCTATTGGCATGTATGTGCAAGAACACACTCAGCTTGTAATGTGGGTGTAGGGATCAGAACTCAGCAAGCACTAACCATTGAACCATCTCCCCAACCCCCACAACAATAAACAAAATAATGTAGACGGGGAGCTTTATTTTAAGGCTAAGGGTTCTCTATAGGAGTGTCATATTTATAAGTTATAGGATTGTTTCATTGTGTTTATTGGTTTTCTAAGTGGAAAAGAAAAATTAAATGTAGAAAGTAGAAAAAACAGCTCTCTCTCAAGATTATCTTGAAGTGAATCTCAGACGTGTACTTCTAGAAAATGTTATTTATTTTGTAATTCTAAGATCAATGCTATTACTAGCCTTTCCCCAGCACAGACCTCAGACAGAAATGGTAGCAAGTACCCAGTAATCCCAGCACAGGAGACTGAGACAGGAGAGTTCGGAGGCCAGCCTGGGCTACTTAGAGTTTCAGGCCCGACGGGGATACATGGGAAAAGTTTAGCTGATTAAAAAAGTTGGGTCTGGAGAGACGGCTCAGAGGTTAAGAACACTGGCTGTTCTTCCAGAGGTCCTGAGTTCAATTCCCAGCACACACATGGTGGCTCACAACTATCTGTAATGAGATCTGGTGCCCTCTTCTGGCCTGCAGACATAATGCAGTCAAAACGCTGTATATATAATAAATAAATAAATCTTAAAAAAAAAAAGCACAGGTTTTGAAATAGATAAAAAAGATATATGAATGCATATATTAAAATACATATATGCACGCATGCATACATATGTATCAGCCTAATCAACAATTCCCCAGGCTCATCAAATTTGTTTGTATGTTCCCCATTACTACACATTATATACATATATTTTACAGTCTCTTTGTTAAGTGGGCAGTAGAACAGGGCTGCTGCCTTCTGAGACACTGGGCTGCTCACAGTATCCTTTAGTCAGACCTTCCCTTCCCACCCCCATTTTCACTGAACTTCTATTTTTCCCTTTTTGTTGTTTTTTTCTGAGGAAAGCAGGTCAATTGTTTTGAATCATTTCTCATAATACAGTCTTGATTTAATAATTGATGTGATATTATGGGATACTCTTTCCTATAAATTTGTTTTGCATTTAGCTTATTTTTTAAATTAGTAAACTTATCTACAGTATTGTGTGCAACATGTTTTGAAATACACAGACGTTGTGGAATGGCTACTCAAGCTATTTAATATGAGTTACCAACTTTTTGTTTCACAATGAGAAAACTTAGAACCTACTCACTTGGGAGTCTTCGGGAATGTAACACACGGGCTGGGAGAAGGCTCAGTGCCTTGCTCTAGCAGAGGACCAGAGTTCGTTCCCAGGCCCCACACTGGGTGGCTCATAACTGCCTGGAGCTCCAGCTCCAGAGATCCAGGATCCTCTTGCCTCCTTAGGCACCAGCATGGATGATCAGACCCCCCCCACACACACACACACAAATGCATAATTAAAATGAAAAAAGAATACAATACATTAGCTGGGCCTGCAAGTAACATAGGAGGATTGTCAAGTCAAGATCTACCTGCGTTCAGTGTGCTCAAAGCTAGCCTGTCCCCAAATAAGTAAAAACTGGGCTGGGGATGTGTAGTTCAGTGGTAGAGGACTTGCCTAATATGTGAACTCTTTGTGTTCAGTCTCTAATACCACAAACACACACACAAAATTAAAAACACAAATGTAGGGCTGGAGAGATGGCTCAGAGGTTAAGAGCACTGGCTGCTCCTCCAGAGGTTCTGAGTTCAATTCCCAGTAACCACATGGTGGCTCACAACCATCGATAATGAGATCTGGCGCCCTCTTCTGGCCTGTAGGGATATGTGCAGACAGAATGCTGTATACATAATAAATAAATAAATCTTAAAAAAAAAAAAAAACCACAAATGTAATTTAAATTAAAAACTAGGAAAAGGTGTTTAAAGGGAAAAGTATGACAGGGTAAGAAGTTTCAAGCTAGTTCAAGGTAACAGGAAGATGGAAACACACGGGTTTCTAAGTATAGGTGAAGCCTAGTTTCAGATGTTTTAATTTGTCGATCAATTTGGGGTCAGCCTGTGACAGATGCTCTTTCTAGGAACTGGCTAACTACCAAACACCAAAGTATTTAGAACTTTCAACACTTTAAAAACCGTGCCACACTCTTTGCTTAGACAAGACTGTCAGCATCACTTAGAGCCCATACCAGGAGAGTCAGGTGTGAACCTCTGAAGCCTTTCCTGACTGCCAGCTGGTGGCCCTGCTGCCACTTGAAGAAGAGGTGCTGGGCGCGCGCGTCGGGCAGGCAGGCCTTGTGGTCCCGCATCAGGTCTTTGGTGATGAACTTGCAGTGACTGCCTGAGTTCAGGGTGGCGTAGAGCAGGAACGGATCGTCCTCCGAGCTGCAGCAGACAGACGGAAGGACAGTCAGACACTCCAGGGGGCAGAGGGCTTCCCAGCCCCCAGTTACTTCTCTTCGGACTTTCCCTGGAGGTGCTTCCGATTTCTGGAGAGTGATCTGCTGACCCTCATCAGGCACCCAGAGTCCTTAGTTGGTGACACCACCTAAAACACCGGAAAGCCAGGGGAGGGACTGCTAATGCTCGAGACTTAGAAACTTTCAGGCCAGCTTCGGCTACAGGGTTTGACCTTCTCCAAAAAACAAAACCAAAACCACCGAGGTTTAATGTGGAAGAAGATGATTAATGTCAGAGCAGGGTCACATTTACATGGGGGTTATGAGGACTC